ATAATGTCCCTCTTAATGTCAATATACTGATTCATAAGATGACCCTCACCTCTTTTGATACGCCTATAAATTCCTTTCTTATGCCCTAGTAGATATTTGAGCCTATTATTCATCCATTTTGGGTCATTTCTATTTGATTTAATTTCTTTATATGGGATAAACGTTCTTTGAGCAGCATGTATAGTGTTCAGAAAACTGTCATATTGATACCTCACTTCGTTACCCCAGTCAACAGATGATAAGTGTTCTCTAAGCCCATTGTAATCTGCTAAGCGAAAATCTGGGACTGTTACTGAGTTATCGCTACTATCGTACTTCCATTCAATGCTAAATGTAATTGATTTGTGGTCGCTAGCACCCAGTTCCTCTGAAATTTCTAAATTATTAACAAGGGATTCATTGTTTGCCATAACTAAGTCAAGCAGGTTATTTCCCCTTGTAGGTTCTGTCACAAACTGCTTCAAAAAACAATCCTGAACTACTTCTAAGAAGTCGTATGACATTCAGATCGTGACACTCAGACCGTGACACTCAGACCGTGACACTCAGACCATGATATTCAGACCGTGACACTCAGATTGTGACACTTAGACTGTGACACTCAGCCCGTGACACTCAGACCGTGACACTCAGACTGTGACACTCAGACCGTGACACTCAGACCGTGACACTCAGACCGTGACACTTAGACTGTGACAATCAGACCGTGACACTCAGACTGTGACACTCAGACCATGACACTCAGACCGTGACACTTAGACCCACTTAGACCGTGACACTCAGACAGTGACACTCAGACCATGATATTCAGACCGTGACACTCAGACCGTGACACTTAGACTGTGACACTCAGACCGTGATACTCAGACTGTGACTCTCAGACCGTGACACTTAGACTGTGACACTCAGACCGTGACACTCAGACCATGATATTCAGACCGTGACACTCAGTGACACTTAGACTGTGACACTCAGCCCGTGACACTCATACCGTGACACTCAGACTGTAACATTCAGACCGTGACACTCAGACCGTGACACTCAGACCGTGACATTTAGACTGTGACAATCAGACCGTGACACTCAGACTGTGACACTCAGACCGTGGCACTCAGACCGTGACACTTAGACCCACTTAGACCGTGAAACTCAGACCGTGACACATCAGACCATGATATTCAGACCGTGACACTCAGACCGTGACACTTAGACTGTGACACTCAGACCGTGATGCTCAGACTGTGACTCTCAGACCGTGACACTTAGACTGTGACACTCAGACCGTGACACTCAGACCATTATATTCAGACCGTGACACTCAGACCGTGACACTTAGACTGTGACACTCAGCCCGTGACACTTAGACCGTGACACTCAGACCGTGACTCTCAAACCGTGACACTCGGACCGTGACACTCAGATCGTGACACTTAGACTGTGACAATCAGACCGTGACACTCAGACTGTGACACTCAGACCGTGACACTCAGACCGTGACACTTAGACCCACTTAGACCGTGACGCTCAGACTGTACTCACCTAGTTGTGTTTGCAGGGGTCGATTCATAGCTCCTGGCTCCGCCTCTTCACTGGTCGCTACTAGGTCACTCTTCCTGCTCCATGAACTTTATCATATTTCTTCTTAAAGCTATGTATGGATCCTGCCTCCACTACATCACTTCCCAGACTATTTCACTTCCTGACTACTCTGTGGCTGAAGAAATACTTCCTAACATCCCTGTGATTCATCTGAGTCTTCAACTTCAACTGTGACCCCTTGTTGCTGTGTCCCATCTCTGGAACATCCTGTCTTTGTCCACCTTGTCAATTTCTCTCAGTATTTTACATATCGTTATCATATCCCCTTATCTCTCCTGTCTTCAAGTGTCGTCAGGTTGATTTCCTTTAACATCTCCTCGTAGGACATGCCCCTTAGCTCCGGGACCTTTGCACTTTCTCTAGTTTCTTCACATTCTTGGCTAGGTGTGGGTTCCAAACTGGTGCCGCATACTCCAGTATGAGCCTAACGTACACGGTGTACAGGGTCCTGAACGATTCCTTATTGAGATGTCGGAATGCTGTTCTTAGGTTTTCCAGGCGCCCATATGCTGCAGCAGTTATTTGGTTGATGTGCGCTTCAGGAGATGTGCCTGGTGTTATACTCACCCCAAGATCTTTTTCCTTGAGTGAGGTTTGTGGTCTCTGGCCTCCTAGACTGTACTCCGTCTGCGGTCTTCTTTGCCCTTTCAGGAGCCAGTTGCTGGACCAGGCCTGCAGCCTGTCCTGTGATATTCAGACCGTGACACTCAGACCGTGACACTCAGACCGTGACACTCAGACCGTGACACTCATTTCTTACATCATTCTGCCACCACCTTTGTTACGTTCAAAATTTAAAAATTTCCATTGTAAATTATATCGTTTAATAAAAATTTTACCGAATTACAGGAGGTGTTTTATGAATATAATACTGGCAGGTGTTTTATGAATATAATACTGGGAAAAAATGTGAGGGAGCAGAGCTCGGTCCAACCCAGACTTCAGGTTAATATAGTGTGAAGTGGTGCTCAGTCTCGCGTCACCACGTCGCAGTACATACTCCCATGTGCTTCGATATTTTTCGTGGATTATCGTAGTTTTTTTTTCCCCTGCTAGAAGCATAGCGCTGTGCCTGTGAATTTATAAAGTTCATGTCTCCAACGCTTGGAGCTAATCTAGAAAAAAATAGCATCACTGAGTCAAAAACAAGCAAAAAAAAGTGTGCATACACAACGTGCCACACTTACACTAGGGGAACCAGTAAAGATCGAGAACCGAAACCTGGTCATTGTGGTTGTATATAAGCCTCAGGATGCAACTTCCCAACAGTTCCTGGAATAGCTTTTGAAAATAGACCACTGTCTGGAAAATCTTCCAGGTGCAGCCCCAAACATCTTGTTCCTGGGGGATTTCAACCTAAGGCACCTAAAATGGAGGAATGTAGCAAATAATGATGTAGCAGAGATAACCTCAGGAGGCAGATCAGGTGAAAACTTGCACACACACGAGGTTTTAAATCTGTGCACAAAATTCACGTTAACTATCCAATCTTCTCACCAACAAATCAAGAGTGTCCTACAACAGTTCCCTTGATATAATAAATAGAGCTCAGAGAAGTAACTTGTCACTGGAAAATCTCGGATCCCTAGAGTCTATTCCTCGAAATTGCTTTAAGCTCAAAAAACAAACGGTAGGAGTAGTAACTAGTATATATCCTGCCCTGACTTGACTTACATAAAATTGAGACTATAACAATCTTTTAAATACCTTTACTGTAGTCCTACCACAGAATGAATACTCATTGGCTGGTGGTAACCATCTGCTGGCTCCGTGTTGACGTTCCGTCTACGTTCGAACTCGTGGATGATCCTGGCAAGGTGGCAACTTGTGAAGGCTCATACAACACTATCAGACCCTCAAAGAGCATTTGATAAGGCTGACTTCTCCTTATGGAAACAGAAAGATAGAAAATTAAATAATAACATAATAAGATAAACAATTTTATTATAATTGAAATCAGTTAAGAATATGAAACATTTGAACATAAAATTAATCCTACTTTAAGCAAAAATGAAAAATGAAATATATTAATAATTAGCGATTCAAAGCTAATATGTGCATGATGATGTAGGTGAAATGGTGCCGTGCCGATGTTCTGGGCACGTAGCTCTGAATTGTGGTTTGGAACACCTAGCTGTTGTTGATGATGGAGGCGTCACAGCTGGTCGTGACTGTTGACACAGAAGACAATCTCCCCAACAAGCTTATATATTCTGCTGAGGAGAGGTTGACTGATCCTCTGAGCACCACAATCTGTTGAAGCAGTTAAGTAGCCAGTCAAAAACAACCGCTGGTGTAATTACAACTGGGAGAAGGCTACTTGAATGGTGTGTAGCTGACTGGATGGTCGGCTACGTGTGGTAGGGGTACCAGTATAGGCAGAGATGCCAAGGTGACGTCTCCGATCCTGGCATGGTCGCCACTTGTGAAGGTTCACACAGCGTTATAAAATACTCTTTGAGGGTCTGATAGGGCTGTGTGAACCATCACAACCACCGATCTGTACCCATGTACTTCAAAATGCACTTCATCTGAAAATGTAACTTTTCTCCATTATCTGTAGTCCATCCCTTATGATCGAATGCTCACCACATCCATTTTCTGTTCACAGCAGCAGTCGGTTATTGTATCTTTACCGGCTTTCTGGTAGTTCTGCCAACTTCACGGAGCCTTCGTCGAGCTGTTAAAGAATCAACATTTATGCCAACTGAAGCCAAATCTCTCTGAAGATCTTTGTTGGTTTTCTTGGGATCCTTCACACTATTTCTTATGATAACCTTGTCATCGTGAGGTGTTGTTTTGCATTTTTTTTCCACATCTTCATCGATGCTGCACTCCATAGTCACCAGACTTATCAGCTCTCTTTAACCAACAGTCGCCTTTGCTAGGCTAAGATTTTCAGTGATGTGATTGTCATATCAGCAAGTTTTTGAACAGTTGAAGAATCAACATTCACGCCAGCTGTAGCTAAATTTCTTTGTAGTTCTTTACTGGTTTTCTTGGGATCCTTCACACTGTTTCTTATGACAACCTTGTCATTGCGATGTGTTGTCTTGCATTTTCTTTCACATCTTTGACGCTGTGCTCCACAATCATCAGTGTCATTAGCTCTCTTCAGAATCCGACCAACAGTTGACTTTGGTAGGCTCAAATTTTCTGTAAGCTGTCTGATACTCAAAACAGCATGTTTTCTAAGAGTCAGAGATAGAGACATTACGAGATATTCACAAAATTTACTCTTGCCCCAATTAATTTGCTCACTCCCATAGTTCTTGAAGGTAACAACTTCTCAGTCTTATATTCATGCTAGTTAGGGAAACTCCTGAGAATAAAGGGGCCCTAGGATGTGTGCTAGAGTACGTAACACATTAATAGATTACAGGTACAATTCCTCTTTGCAGGTGGGCCGTTGAGTATGAAGTCTCATAGAGGTCAAGCTTGCCAGGGAAGTGTGAAAGGAGAATTCTAAGACAGACTCCGCTTCATGCACAGGGGAGTGAGACCCATTGGTCCTTCGTCCCAATTTTCTTTTCCAAAGACGTGGACCACGGGAGAGTGTGATGGTAGGATAGTTAATATTACATTAGCTACAGCAGCAGTGATTGCCACAGTCGAACACCTCATGTTTCCACTTGTCAGTTTGTCACCTGTTTATATAATACACTTGTCAGTCTGCCACCTGTTATATACACTTGTCAGTCTGTCACCTGTTATATAATACACTTGTCAGTCTGTCACCTGTTATATACACTTGTCAGTCTGTCACCTGTTATATACACTTGTCAGTCTGTCACCTGTTATATACACTTGTCAATCTGTCACCTGTTATATACACTTGTCAGTCTGTCACCTGTTATATAACACACTTGTCAGTCTGTCACTTGTTATATACACTTGTCAGTCTGTCACCTGTTATATAGTACACTTGTCAGTCTGTCACCTGTTATATAATACACTTGTCATTCTGTCACTTGTATTGTTATACACTTGTCAGTCTCACCTGTATTGTTATACACTTGTCAGTCCTTCACTTGTATTGTTATACACATGTCAGTTGGTCACTTGTAATGTTGCATATAAATCAGTCTAATGCTTGTAATATCAAGCATATTTCAGTAATGTCTTTTTTTTATTTTCAGCTATTCTAGTCTTCTGAAGATGTACCAGGAGCACCCTCAGCAGGAGCTCTGTTAGCAACATTATCTGCAGATGCATCAAGCATTCCTTCAGTTATATCACTGCAGAAGCATCAGAAACACCATCAGCCCTATTTTCTGCAAATAATAGAGAGCACTTTAAGTAGCATTGTCTGCAGAAGCAGCAGTAGTTCTGTCAGAAACAACTGGATATCATACTATATTCCTTCTAATGTGTCATGGCTTTAATAACTAAGGAGGAAAATAATAGATTCAGATTTATTAAGGCTTTAAATCTGTGTGGTAGGAAGGTTCTGCATAACACATTCTGCTGGGGAACCCCGGATAAAGTTGGCCATGTAAGGCTGGATGAATATTTAAAAAACTTAAAACGAACATCATCAGCAAACTATTTAAAGCTCTCAAGGAGTCAAAGAAAGTTTAACAAAACACAGAAGAAATTGATTAATAAGAGTTCAGATGGAAGAGAGTTTGATATTCCATTGCTGTGCCTGAGCATTAAACTAGCTTGTGAGAATGTAGCTCCTATAGGTGATGCAAAATGGGACTCTCACAGCACAGAAATGGAGTATTACATCACTGCAATAAAGAACATGAGAAATGATGCTCTTCATGGCCAACTTGCAGTTGCCGATAAAGATTTTTTTGAAAATATATCTGAACTTCGGGTGCTATTAACTGGGTGTCTTAGTGCATCTGGCGAGCGATACGGGAAGGATGAAGCCGATGTGGTCGAGGAGATCAACAAGATAAACACTGATCTTGACTTCATCATGATTGAGATTCTCGGGGAGGAAGACATACTAAGGTATTGTAGCGATGATATAAAGCAGATTATCGTTAAGGACAGTTGTGATAAACTGAAGGAGATCTTCCAAAAGATCATTTATGTCAACCCAGTATCTTTTATCATTAAAGACTTTGAACTTAAAGTAGACAAAATTTTTGTTGATATTGAGGTCCAACAAGGAAAACGTGGAAGTGAGGGTGAACATGTAGATTATCGAAGCCTTCTTAAGCTTGTCCAAACTACAACTGTGCCATCAACAATGAGTACTGCTTCACAAAATCTGGGACTCTCTGCGAGACCTCAACTTCTTCTTCTTGAAGGTTTGGCAGGAAGTGGCAAGACCACTCTAGTGACGCTGATAACAGAGGAATGGATACAGGGTGGTCAAGGTCACATCACTGGTTTAGATAATTATGAAATCCTGCTGTGGGTACAGTGCAGGGACCCGACCCTGAATTCTTACCAGGGTCTTCTAGACCGCCTGATACCAGATGTTTCAACAAAATTCAGAAAACTTCTGCCTCGAATAATAAATCATTGTAAAGTGCTAATAATCGTTGATGGATTGGATGAAATGAATAAGAACTCTAGATCATTAATCAAAAGCCTTTTATACGAATTCCAGAACTCTACTCACACAACTTTTATATGCACCTCAAGACCGGAAAAAGTTGAAATGTTCATGGCCACAATCCCTGAAAATTACCAAGTGATAAATGCAGAACTACAAGGCATAGATGAAAATTATATAATAGAGTTTGTGAGTAGGACTCATGAAGAGATAAATAATCGGACAAAGAGTAACAAAAACATTAAAGAACTGAAAGATATAGTGCTAAAGGTTGATGGTCTTGGAAAACACTTAAAACTTCCAATGAATTTAGCATTTTTTGTTTACATTTGGGACCAGTCAAGTGATGAGATAAATATAATGACAGTAACTGAAACAGAACTCTACCAGAAAATACATGAACTTTGTCTAGAAAAGTTAATAGAAAGAATTGCGGAGTGTCTGAAGACGAAGGTAATAGATAAATTGAACTTAAAGTACAGGATTAAAGAAATATTGAGTATGATATACATGGCATCACTTGAGAGCCTCTCACGTGAACAGTTAACCCTTGAAGAAAAAACTGTCTCCCGACTGATATCCGCTTGCAACAACCATGATATACCGTACGATGAAATGTTTTCTGCATTCTTGAGTTTGAAACCTATCTGGACATGGCAGGGCATCTTGGAACGGTACTCTGCGCCCCACAAAGGAATCCTAGATTACTACAGTGCTCTGCATATTGTGATGACACTCAAGAACCAGCTACAGTCTTCGGCTCTTCCACTCCCATATGCCCAGCATCCAACACCACATGTGTCTTCCCAATCACCCGCCAGCAGTGCATCACTCTCATATACTCAAATTTTACCTTTCCCATCCTCACCTACACCAGCACCACCTACACCAGCACCACCTACACCAGCACCACCTACACCAGCACCACCTACACCAGCACCACCTACACCAGCACCACCTACACCAGCACCACCTACACCAGCACCACCTACACCAGCACCACCTGTTAGCATTAGGGAAGTCTTAGAACAGAGCGTCGTAGAAGCCAGGGTAGACATAACTAAGTATCACAATGTTTTGCTACATGTGGCTGGATTGTTGCACTTATTGCTAGATCACGTGCCTGAGGCTCTCTTGAAGGAAGTTGTCCATCTTTTGTCCGAGGCTGGGATGAGGGGCAGGTATGAGGACGAGAGTGAGTCTTTATACATGAACAACAAGGACATGTTTGACATGAGTAGCATTGACAATTGGCACCACCTCCTCGAGAACACCAAATACAATTATGAAATCGCCAGGGCCATAGCCTCTTTCATCAACACTGAAAACCCTGTATACATAATGGATAATAATGTGTGGAGCTGTATGGCTCTCCTACCACACCTCAAACCATGCGAAGTGCACATTGAAATCAGGAGAGAATCAAGTTACGTACCCGGCCTGCCAGACCTGCTAGCTGCCCTCGGCCGCCATTACCACCGCTGCACACAACTCCAACTGTATTACCACTACAAGGATGACAAAAAAAACGTCATTTCCGATGATATTCTACAGAGTTTACAGCCTCGGTGAGTTGTTGGTGTCGTTAATATGACTCACGTTGACAATACCGAGAATAACATCATTTTTATCTTGTGATTAATTTTTTCATTGTTCATAAAGCAAGGGAGGTGGAGAAGCCCTGATGGACGGAAAGTTCTTTACCTAATGAACTGGCGCTTCCATCCTGTTACTTGGATCAAGCCTGAACGCCTTCCATTCTGCAGGCCCCATGTGCTCCATACGGGTTTAGGCCCACTTCATGGGAAAACATATAAGCATACAGATAAACGGCTTATATAAAAAAATTAATCGCCCTGTAGTCAGACTTGGGAAAGGTCACAAGTCAGGTCATAGGAGACAGATAAACCGAAATATATACATACTGTACGTGTGTATATATATATATATATATATATAATATATATATATATATATATATATATATATATATATATATATTATAGTATATATATATATATATATATATATATATATATATATATGTATATTATATATTATATATATTATTATATATATTATTATTACATATATTATATATATATTATTATTACATATATTATATATATTATTTATATATTATATATATATATATATATATATATATATATATATATATATATATATATATATATATATATATATTATATATATTATTATTATGCAGAAAATTCGGAGTGTGGAAATTAGGAGAAGGTGTGGAGTTAATAAAAGCATTAGTCAGAGGGCAGAAGAGGGGTTGTTGAGGTGGTTTGGTCATTTAGAGAGAATGGATCAAAGTAGAATGACATGGAAAGCATATAAATCTATAGGGGAAGGAAAGAGGGGTAGGGGTCGTCCTCGAAAGGGTTGGAAAGAGGGGGTAAAGGAGGTTTTGTGGGCGAGGGGCTTGGACTTCCAGCAAGCGTGCATGAGCGTGTTAGATAGGAGTGAATGGAGACGAATGATACTTGGGACCTGACGATCTGTTGGAGTGTGAGCAGGGTAATATTTAGTGAAGGGATTCAGGGAAACCGGTTATTTTCATATAGTCGGACTTGAGTCCTGGAAATGGGAAGTACAGTGCCTGCACTTTAAAGGAGGGGTTTGGGATATTGGCAGTTTGGAGGGATATGTTGTGTATCTTTATACGTATATGCTTCTAAACTGTTGTATTCTGAGCTCCTCTGCAAAAGCAGTGATAATGTGTGAGTGTGGTGAAAGTGTTGAATGATGATGAAAGTATTTTATTTTTGGGGATTTTCTTTCTTTTTTGGGTCGCCCTGCCTCAGTGGGAGACGACCGACTTGTTGAAATATATATATATACAAAATAATATTTATATATATATATATATTTATATATATATATATATATATATATATATATATATATATATATATATACAATAGGGTCCACCTGGTGTAAATTGTGGGACCCATAGCCTCGGAGAAGTGGAAAAAAAAGGCTTCAAGGAAGAATATTTGGATTTTTTCCTGAATATTTGGATTTTTTCCCGGTAAAAGTAGGTCTTAGACAGAGATGTGTAATGCCACCATTGTTTTTTAATATATTTATAGATGGGGTTGTGAAGGAGGTAAATGCTAGGGTGTTGGGGAAAGGGGTGGGATTAAATTATGGGGAATCAAATGCAAAATGAAATTTATCATAAGAACATAAGAAAGGAGGAACACTGCAGCAGGCCTGTTGGCCCATACTAGGCAGGTCCTTCACAATCCATCCCACTACCAAAATATTTACCCAACCCAATTTTCAATGCTACCCAAGAAATAAGCTTTAACAATTCTATTTACTCATGTGCAAATCCCACTCAAATCCGACCCCTCTCACCCATGTATTTATCCAACCTAAATTTGAAACCACGGTGGAATGGTGTACTAGGCAGACTGTTCCACTCATCAACTACCTTATTTCCAAACCAATACTTTCCTATATCCTTTCAAAATCTAAACTTATCTAATTTGAATCCATTATTGCGGGTTCTCTCGTGGAGAGATATCCTCAAGACCTTGTTTATATCTCCTTTGTTAATACTCATCTTCCACTTGTGCACTTCGATCATGTCTCTCCTCATTCTCCGCCTTACAAGTGAATGTAATTTAAGGGACTTAATCTTTCTTCTTACGGAAGATTTCTAATGCTATGAATTAATTTTGTCATTCTTCGCTGAGTTGACACAGTTACTTTTTGCTGATGATACTGTGCTTATGGGAGATTCCAAAGAAAAATTGCAAAGGTTATTGAACGAGTTTGGGAATGTGTGTAAAGGTAGAAAGTTGAAAGTGAACATAGAAAAAAGTAAGGTGATGAGGGTATCAAATTGCTTAGACAGACAAAAATTTGATATCACATTGGAAGGAGGGAGTATGGAAGAAGTGAATGTTTTCAGATATTTGGGAGTTGACTTGTCAGTGGATGGGTTTATAAAGGATGAGGTTAACCATAGAACTGATGAAGAAAAAAAAGTGAGTGGTGCGTTGAGGTATATGTGGAGACTAAAAAAACGTTATCAATGGAGGCAAAGAAGGGAATGTATGAAAGTATAGTAGAACCAACACTCTTATATGGGTGTGAAGCTTGGGTTGTAAATGCTGCAGCGAGGAAATGGTTGGAGGCAGTGGAGATGTCCTGTCTAAGGGCAATGTGTGGTGTAAATATTATGCAAAGAATTCGTAACGTGGAAATTAGGAGGTGTGGAGTTAATAAAAGTATTAGTCAGAGGGCTGAAGAGGGGTTGTTGAGGTGGTTTGGTCATTTAGAGAGAATGGATCAAGGTAGAATGACATAGAGAGCGATAAATCTGTAGGGGAAGGAAGGCAGGGTAGGGGCAGTCCTCGAAAAGGTTGGAGGGAGGTGGTAAAGGAGGTTTTGTGGGCGAGGGACTTGGACTTCCAGCAGGCGTGCATGAGTGTGTTAGATAGGAGTGAATTGAGACAAATGGTATTTGGGACCTGACGAGCTGTTGGAGTGTGAGCAGGGTAATATTTAGTGAAGGGATTCAGGGAAACCGGTTATTTTTATATAGCCAGATTTAAGTATTGGAAATGGGGAGTACAATGTCTGCACTTTAAAGGAGGTGTTTGGGATATTGACAGTTTGGAGGGATATGTTATATATGCTTCTAAACTGTTGTATCTGGGCACCTCTGCCAAGAGAGTGAATACGTATGAGTGAGGTGAAAGTGTTGAATAATGATGAAAGTATTTTCTTTTTGGGTCATGGTCGACTTGTTGAATATATATATATATATCTATATATATATATTATATATATATATATATATATATATATATATAAATATATTATATATATATATATATATGAATATGTATATACACAAGGAATTCGCGAGAGCAGGCGAAATATACACAAACACTGATCTCTGGCTGAAGGAAAGTCGAACCTACGAACCTTAGGACAAGGTACGCAGTGCTTTACCAATCTACCCACACTGGACAATACCTTGGCGTGTAGCTTGGACTACACGTTTGATCCAAGGCAGCCAGCTTTCAGGGAGAAGGCTTACAGCTTTTCATCTCATCCCCTGCATGCATCAGCCTTAATAGAGATTTTAACAATGCAAGGAATTCGCGAGAGCAGGCGAAATATACAAGCCTTCTCCCTGAAAGCTGGCTGCCTTGGATCAAACGTGTAGCGCAAGCTACACGCCAAGGTATTGTCCAGTGTGGGTAGATTGGTAAAGCGCTGTGTATCTTGTCCTAAGGTTCGTAGGTTCGAGTCTCCTTCAGCCAGAGATCAGTGTTAATATATATATATATATGACTGTGAAACAAAAACCTGTAATTGTTTTGCATGATGGTAGGATTGCTGGTTTCTTTTTCTGTCTCATAAACACGCTAAGATAACAGGGATATCTTGCTACTCCTACTTACACTTTGGTCACACTTCACAGACACGCACATGCATATATATATATACATACATCTAGGTTTTTCTCCTTTTTCTAAATAGCTCTTGTTCTTTTTTATTTCTTCTATTGTCCATGGGGAAGTGGAAAAGAATCTTTCCTCCGTAAGCCATGCGTGTCGTATGAGGCGACTAAAATGCCGGGAGCAATGGCTAGTAACCCCTTCTCCTGTATACAATTACTAAAAAAGAGAAGAGAAAAACTTTATAAAACTGGGTTGCTTAAATGTGCGTGGATGTAGTGCGGATGACAAGAAACAGATGATTGCTGATGTTATGAATGAAAAGAAGTTGGATGTCCTGGCCCTAAGCGAAACAAAGCTGAAGGGGGTAGGAGAGTTTCAGTGGGGGAAATAAATGGGATTAAATCTGGAGTATCTGAGAGAGTTAGAGCAAAGGAAGGGGTAGCAGTAATGTTAAATGATCAGTTATGGAAGGAGAAAAGAGAATATGAATGTGTAAATTCAAGAATTATGTGGATTAAAGTAAAGTTGGATGTGAGAAGTGGGTCATAATAAGCGTGTATGCACCTGGAGAAGAGAGGAATGCAGAGGAGAGAGAGAGATTTTGGGAGATGTTAAGTGAATGTATAGGAGCCTTTGAACCAAGTGAGAGAGTAATTGTGGTAGGGGACTTGATGCTAAAGTAGGAGAAACTTTTAGAGAGGGTGTGGTAGGTAAGTTTGGGGTGCCAGGTGTAAATGTATGGGAGCCCTTTGATTGAACTTTGTATAGAAAGGGGTTTAGTTATAGGAAAATACATATTTTAAGAAAAAGAGGATAATAAGTATACACGATATGATGTAGGGCGAAATGACAGTAGTTTGTTGGATTATGTATTGGTAGATAAAAGACTGTTGAGTAGACTTCAGGATGTACATGTTTATAGAGGGGCCACAGATATATCAGATCACTTCTAGTTGTAGCTACACTGAGAGTAAAAGGTAGATGGATACAAGGAGAATAGAAGCATCAGGGAAGAGAGAGGTGAAGGTTTATAAACTAAAAGAGGAGGCAGTTAGGGTAAGATATAAACAGCTATTGGAGGATAGAGGGCTAATGAGAGCATAGGCAATGGGTCGAAGA